TGTGTGTGTATGTGTGTGTGTATACGTATAATGTGTTTTTGTATGTGTATGTGTTTGTGTATATGCATGTCTATAAAAATATGAATATGCACATGTATATATGTTTGTATGTGTGTGTGTGTGTGTATGAGGGCGTGAGCGAGTGTGTGTGAGCAAGTATGTGTGTGTGTGCGTGTGTGTATGAGGGTGTGAGTGAGTGCGTGTATGTGTGAGTGTGTGTGTGTGTGTGAGTGAGTGAGTGCGCGCGCGCGTGTGTGTATGTGTGAGTGTGTGTGTGTGTATGTTTGTGTGTGTGTGTGTGTGTGTGTGGGGGAGGGAGAGAGAGAGTATGAAGGGGGAGGGGAAGGAAGGAGTGACGAACAAATCACAGGATCACGATGTCTTGAATCGCTCATTCAATTATTACTCTGAGGGTTTTGCAAATCTTTTATAAGATATAATTCAAGCCTAAATACTTAAATAAACATATCGTGGAGCAGTTGGTCATGTATTGTTTTTAATGATTTAAGATCCTAGAAAATTAAGAGCTGAATCAAATTAAAAACAACAACAACAAAACAAAACAAAGAAAAAACACACAAAAAACCCCAACAACAAAACACCAAATATCTAAATTAGATTTTGTTAAGGATGGACAGCAATTTGGACAAAGTTAAGGATGTATAAAAATTACTGAAAAACACTTGCAACATAAAAAGAGAAAACTGACAAGGAAAGAATAAAAAAATGGTAAAACTATCAAAAGGTAAACATAAGAAATAATTGCAATTCAAGAACGCTGAAACGGTTATGTCTCATTAATAAAACTTAAAGAGATAAAATCCTAGTCCCTATGTTTCTAAAGCTACCAAGTGGCGGAGCTAAAAAACAAAACAAAACAAAACAAAACCACACCCTCCCCAACAAAAAAGAACAAACATACCAAAAAACAAATAACCAAAACAACCCCCCCCCCCTCCCCGGAAAAAAGATACCAACAAAACAAACAAACAAAGCCAAAGCAAGAGACAAGTTTGTTAAGCTCAGATCACCCGACGATATGCTGTATTGTGCTGTTCCATATCGGTCATTTTCATGGAATTTTTATCGTCTGGACGACCTTTTGTTTCGAACCGTTTGATCGTCTGCTCTGAGTTCTGGGCGTGGCTCGATTTATCGTCAGGCTGGTCTGCCTTCAGATGCTGGTAAATGAAAAAAAAAAGTCTTTTGTTTGAGTATTCTTTACTTGAGTAAAGAAAAACACATCGAAGCAATAGATCTAGTAGTAGCCAAGTTGTGCGGGAATAAAACCAAATTGAAAGATATAAAACAACGGAGAGGCAGAAAAGAAGTAAGATCTACCAACTACTTCAACAAGTTATCCTTTGCATCATTAAATGGGTTTTACATTCGTATTGACACAATTCTAATAATGTATGAGAGCTGCTGTTTTGATGTTGACCACCAACTCCAGCCAGTACTGAGTGGGAGGCAGCACCCCTGCACAGAAGCACTGTCGCGCGCTCATAATATGATCATAATATGCAGCTGTGAGCGCCGTAAAACTCTTCTCAAAACAGACATGGAGACATTCGATAATCATGAACCTTTCCCGAACGGAAATCAAAATCCCCGTTTTCTATGTGCTGCTACGCCGGATAGAGAGCCTACCCATTACATAGCAGAAGCCGGTTGAGGAAAACAGCTATACCCGATAATGAACATTAAAATTTCAGAAAAAAAATGATGATTGGGCATTTATTTTCGTCCGACAATAAATCCTTTGCATTTAGAATAATTTTGTTTTGTTTTTGTAAAGTGT